CTAAGCAGTTGAGGGCTGATTATTAGGTATAGCTGCAGTATAGAATCTGTCTGGAAGATTGGGTTTGAGTTTGACTGTATTGACTCTTAACAGGTAAGATCCATATTTGTAAAAAGACAGACAGAAAGAAAAAAACTGTAACATTAAGATTAGTGGCAGAATTGACAATGGTAGAGAATAGCTTAATATTAAATATGAGAGAGTTAAAAGTACATACCAGTTTTAAATATGAGACTTATGATTTTGTAGTCTGAAACAAGATGTAATAAACAATCATTATACATAGAAAGATTGAACAGGAATTAGGCAAAGTGCATGTTTTTGATGGGCCCTATCAAAAAGCATGTCACTATGCAAAACACCTGTAATCAGAGTTAACGAGGATTTTTAGTGATCACTGAGGAGGGGGAAGGGAAGGCAGGACATTCATAACAGTGGGAGAGCTTGGCTATGTGACCTGGCTCTCAGTGAATCTAGCGATAAAGTCACCTGACCCCAAGGAACATGGCGGCGGCCACATGTTGTGGCTTAAATGGAAAGCCGCGGGAATTTTAAAAGCGGGGGGCCGCCTGGTTGTTGAATCGTGAAAAACCCGCATAAAGAGACAATTTAAGGCATATTTAGGCTGGTACGACTTGCTTTCCCAGGTCAAGACCGTGAAAATCCCTCAAAAACCGTGGCATCTCGAGCCTATGGGGAACGGCTCCCCGTTTAGGTGAGATGCAAATTGTAATCGACCATCCAGGACACGTGGGTGAGCGTCCTCAATCCACGTGTGGGGTGGTAATAGGCCGAACCGGATCAGCCTTTTCCGTGAGAAAGATGAGAAAGAAGAAAAGAATGAAATGAGAGGAAGATGACTGGAGGCCCCGGGCCACCAGGTGAGGGAATGCACAGGCTTAACAGGATGCAAGCCATAATGGATGCCAGCGATGGAGCAGAGAAGTACCCCTCCCCGAGCCCAGAAACACCGGGAGGACCAGTCAATCCCGGGTTAAAAAGGCTCAGATAAGCTGGCTGGAGTGAGGAAACTTCCAATTAGAAGCCGGTGTTGTTTGTAGGAAGGAGTCCAGGCAGTTGGTGGTGTTGAGGAAGGCCCTCAGTTCGATTCAATCCCTGAAGTTAGTGGTCAGAGTCCTGGACAAAAGATAAAGCTGGAACCCTGGCCCTTGGCGGGTGAATCTCTCAAGTCCTGGCACCAAATATTGTTCTTTTTAAAAATAATATGATGGGATGGCCCCGGGCGGCTCGCGGAGCAGCTTCTAGTCTCCAGGGTGGCAGTGCCATGCGGCCGGAGGAGTCAGGCAGGCGATTACGGCGGATAAAAGGCTCACAAGACATAGTAAATAAACATAAGGGTAAACATTTATTACTTAAAAAGAAATAGAAAAACAGAGAGTCAGAGATAGACAAATATAAAGACATAAAGACACAGAGACAGAGAGAAACGTGCACACGACAGGAGACAACCACACAAGAGAGAGAGAAAGATGGAGAAGGGGGAGATCAGGAGTGGCTGGGGTGGGCGTGGTTAGTTCTTAAAGTGACAGCAGAAGAATAACAGCGATGGCTTTTCTCAAATTTAGCAAATTTCTGCTCCCTTTCTGCCCCTCCTGGAGGGGACTTCTTATTCAAGCTTCATGTCTCAGTCTAGCAATCCCTATAGATACTAGAATTAGATGATCCACTCCACTCACCACTGAGCTGTCAATTTGATAAAAGTAACTATGTCTGTTTGCTTGCTCCAGAGTCATATCCTTGATACCTTACAGTGCTGGGCATAAACAATTGATAAATATTTCTTGTTTTTTTTTTTCTTTCCTGAGACAGGGTTTCTCTGTAGCTTTGATGCCTGACCAGGCTGGCCTCGAACTCACAGAGATCTGCCTGCCTTTGCCTCCTGAGGGCATGTGCCACCGCTGCCCAGCAAAAATTATTTCTTTTATGTGCATTGATGCTTTGCCTGCATGCATGTCTGTGTGATCCCCTGGAATGGGGGTTACAGTCCTGAGCTGCCATGTAGGTACTGGGAATTAAGCTTGGGTCTTCGGGAAGAACTGTCAGTGCTCTTACCTGCTGAGCCATCTCTCCAGCCTGAGAAATATTTCTAACATTGATCGCTAGTACTTTATGCAGTGGAATTTAAAGTCACTATCCATTTTACTTATTTTCAGATGGGTGTTGTGCTTACCTGTAATCTCAGCACTAAGGAGTTGGAGGCATAATTAGGAATTCCAGGACAGCTTGTTGAACATGAAACCCTAGCACAAAACAAAAATAAAAGGCACATTATATTTTAGAACGTCCAGATTTAAAAAATATAAATTATAACCCTGAGTTCACCGATTTTCTAAAATAAGTGTTGGTTTGGGCTAGAACAATAACTTCACTGGTCTTAGTTTTAAGAATTCTTTTCCATCAAACTCTGGTTGTCGATATAGTCTCCTTCCAAAGAAAGCTGGCTTTTGCTGAGTGGATTATTAAATGAGAGCACTAGTGTGTAATTAGTTAGTACTTAACTTTTTTTGTTTTTGTTTTTTGTTTCTCGAGACAGGGTTTCTCTACAGCTTTGGAGCCTGTCCTGGAACTAGCTCTTGTAGACCAGGCTGGCCTCAAACTCACAGAGTTCCACCTGCCTCTGCCTCCTGAGTGCTGGGATTAAAGGCATGCACCACCACTGCCTGGCCCCCACTTAACTTTTGACTTGATAAAAGTGAACATTTGGGAAAAAGAAAGTTACTATATAAGGATTACAAGGTCTGAGTTTTTGATCTTCTCTTACATTAGGGAAAGCAGGCTTTTTTCTTAAATGTATCTACCTATCTCTATCTATCTGTCTGTCTATCTATCTATCTATCTATCTATCTATCTATCTATCTATCTATCTATCTACCTATCTATGTATCTATTTTTGTGGTATTTCCTGAATGCTAGTGGCAAACTCAATCCCTAGCCTTGGGCTACATTCTCAGCCCTCTTATGTTTTATTTTATTTGATACAGCACTCTTCTATGTATCCAAGGATGACCTGAGCTTGTTTGGATCCTCTTGCTGCTCCCTGTCTCCTGAGTGCTGTGGATAGGTGAGTGCTACCAAGCTCATCTTTTCCCATTAGACTTAGTGTAAAAAGGTACTTTACAATAATGTATGAGTTTTCCTAAACCTAACCCTTATTCTATCACCATTAAAAAAAAGCTTTAAAGTGTATTTTCATCTAGCCTCCAGCTCCCTAGGTAGCCCAGGATGACCTTAAACTTCTCTCTAGTTATCTCCCCAGAGCTGTCACCTGCGCCCAGTTCCTGAGATTCTGGAGATCAAATCCAGGGCTTCGCATATGCTAGACAAGTAGATACGGCTGAATTAAATTCCCAACACCTATGTTCTGTTCACTAATAATTGACTTACACACATATTCCCTGATTGGTTGATTCACAGAGTTGCAATGCAGCATTTACACTGCAACCCGCACCCCACCTGCGGATATCAAAAGTGGGGGCTTATCCCAGCTTGTTTGTAGCTCTTGTAACTGAAGGCAGAGCTGCGTGAAAATCGGGTCTTAGCTAGTGTGGTGTCTAAGGAGTTTGGGTGAAATGAGACCTGTTTTTTGTTTGTTTGTTTGTTTGTTTTTCGAAACAGGGTTTCTCTGTAGCTTTGGAGCCTGTCCTGGTCTTGTAGACCAGGCTGGTCTCCAACTCACAAAGATCCGCCTGCCTCTGCCTCCCGAGTGCTGGGATTAAAGGCTTGTGTCACCACCGCCCCGCCGAGACCTGGTTTTATATTGCTGACTTTTGTCACCTCAATTTGTCCAAGTTGCAACATTTAAATTGTACAAAAGCGTTTCCTTGGTATCTCTTGTGAAAATGATTTGGAGTTAATATAGGTTCAACTGATGTGACTATTACCTAGCATAAAGAAAGCACCACTTATGTACTGTCTGTATTGATGGCAATGCAGCATGGGTTCGCTAGAAGGAAGCTACTGAAAAGCTTTCTTTGACTCTCAAGTTGCTTTCCTCTTGGTGCAAACATGTATGTGTGTGCCTGCGTACGTGTGTGTGTATGTGTGTGTGTGTACTAGAGAGAAAAAAGTCGAAGGGAATATCTAAAAGCCAGCAGTCTTTCTTCCCTTATCATTAGGATGTAAATTATGTGGAAGGATCCCTAGTATTGAGTGTTTGCTTGTCATGCTAGAGACTGGGAGGACCGGTCCACATGATCTCCTGGAAGGCACACGGTCTGGAGGGAATAGACGGTTATAGAAACCATCCTTCTTTAGCCTATCCCTGGAGGCCATTTTCTTCTTGGCGCTAATGCGTATTTTATTATTTATCTTATAGACTTTACGTGTGTATGTGTTTTGTCTGATGCAGGACAGATTACCACAAATATGCCCGGTGCCCACAGAGGCCAGGCAGGGCAGGAATCCCCCGAAATGGAGTTAACGGCAGGTTGTCAGTCGCCATGTGATTGTTGGGAATCGAACCGTGAGCCTTTGTACGAGCATCCAGTGCTAAACTGAGTCACAAAACCGGGAGCAGCCAATTATCCACCCCTTTCGGCCCACAGAACTCAGGAGGCGAGAAGGCGGCCTTGCCGGAAAGAGGCCACGCCAAGTGTCTGGAAGATCCCGCTGGGTTGGCCTCCTCCAACGTGGTCCGGACCGCGCCGGGGCTCAGGAATCCGTAGAGCGCCGCACGGCCCTTGCCCACAGCCCGAGGCGACGGGCGTCGACGTTCTCTCCGGGCGTGGCGCTCGCCCCTTTTGGCGGGCTCGGCGTCGCAAGGCCCCGCCCACCGCAAGTCTCTCCGCATTCGCGAAGGCGGGCGCTGCGTTCCCATTGGCGGAGCGGGCCCGCCAAGGCTCCGCCCCCTCCCGGGCCCGACGCGTGCACGTTGGTGGCCGGGGCCTGTGGGGGAAGCCGCCTGGGTGGGGAGCGGCTCTCGGACGGGGGTGAACGGCGCGCTGGGGCCGCCTTGACGTTCGGGAGGCGTCTGTGCGGGCGAGCGCGGCCCCGGGGGCGGGCAGGGGAGAATCCGGCGGCGGGCCAGCCCCGCCGTCCTTTTCCCCCCGCACGCCCGTCGACCTTGTGGGCGGAAGCTTCCCGGAGCTGCTCACGCCCGCGCCATGGCGACTGCTGCGGAGACCGAGGCCTCTTCGACGGATGGGAGCTGGGGAGGCTGCGGCGGCGGCGGAGACGACGGGATGAAGCCAGCGCTTCCGGAGCCGGAGTCCTCGCCACAAGATGGCGGCGGCAGCTTCTTCTCCGCCGCGGAGCTCGGCGGCGGCGGCGGTGCGGGGCCAGAGGAGACCGCCCGGAGCCACTGCAACGAGCAGCCTCAGCACGCTTCCGAGGCGGCCGCGGCCGCTGTCCCCAAAGGCGCCGAAGAGCCGGAAAGGCCCCTTAGGCGGAGTTTTCAGATCCCCAGGAAGAGCAGAGAAAAGAAAGGTGGTGCCTCCCCTCCTCCCCGATCCCCGACCCCTCTCTCTCTCTCTCTTCTCCCCCTTCATCTTCTCACTAGTACCTCTCTGTCTCCTCTCCCATACCCACCCGACACACGTAAACACGCACTCCGGCGCCGGTGCGAGAGGCGAGGGTGCAAGCACGCTCCGCCGCTCCCCCTCTCCCCGTGCAAGCTGGAAGGAGCTCAGGTTTGAAGCGCGTCCATAAGGCTGCAGCTCCCGGAGAGGGAAGACGGTGCTCGGCGCCCCTCCTTCCCGACCCCCCGAAGGCAGAGAAGCTGATGTGGCCTCCTAAAGATGCTTCTGAGAAGTCCGCTTGTGGAAGTAGCCGGTGGCCATGGATTCTGAGGCTCTCCCCAAGGCCATTACGTTCTGAGGACAAGTGTTTCTCACTGTGGAAATTCTTCAGCCCTGTGTCTACTTGAAATGTGCTCGATGCCAGCGTCTTCTCTTACTTAGGAAATCTCCGTTAGGATATGAGCTCCATGCCCAGTTTTCCATCACACTTCATTTCCATGTAGTTTTTTTTAAAGGCTTAGATTATGTAGGGGTCTCATGTTTAACTCCAAACTTACTTTGGCTTTTGTACTTGAAAAGGATGGGAAGGTAGGTTCTTGGTGCATTAATTTCCCTGTGGAGGAAAATGAGAAGTTAGAGTATGACCAAGAATCTCCAACTTACCTTGAACTTCAGATTTCTACAAAGAATACTCTAGTTTTTAAAATCAATATAGGAACAGGTACATTAATTTACTTTTTGAAATCTCAGTGCCCAGTACCATATTGTAAAACGTACAACACTTTTTTGTTAGAGTAGGTTTTTGGAATTTTCTGGATTTGGTTTAAATTTTCCCTTGCCTTCGTGTTACAGTTTTTTTTTTTTTTTTTTTTAATGGCTTATTTCCCAAACCTGCATTCTCTCTCCCCCCCTTTGTCTTTTTTCCATTTGGACCTGGTGGACCTGGAAAGATTTAGGCTTCAAACAACATGCACCTGGGTAACCAGCTCTATTTGCACAACTGAGATTATAAAAATACAAAGAAAATTCCTTTCTTTTTAGATGACAAAGCCAAGGAAATAGCATGAGAAACGCAGAGGAGGAAGAAATTGACCTTTGCCTACCTAATTTGAGGAATGTTTCTAGAAATATTCTTAAATGAGGTAATATACTTAAGGATGTAGGGCAAGATAGTGAATTTTCTTGGTGTAGTGTAAGTGTGCATGATTGTGTTAAACCGAGAAAAGTTACTCACACCCAATAGTTGTCGGAATAGGTTGGAAGTTCTTTCATATAGGATCTGATTATGAAAATAGGGTGTTTTTTTTTTTACGTTTTTCAACCTATATCAAGCTTTCTTGACATCTCCTTTAGATTTTAAATGACCAAGGATAAGAACAAACCACCTTAAAAACAAAACAACAAAAAAACCCCTCCGTTTTAGTTGGTTTAGCCTTAGGATTTAGTTGAAGCATGGCAAGGTGGCATGTGTTTCTTATATTGCATAAGCCAAATCCAGAAGTTGCTCTGCCTGCACTTGAAAATACTGAAAGTGGCATGGGGAATTAGGGAATATAAGCCCTGCTGCTTTCACCGTGGAGTCTGATATATTCCTTGGGGGAAATGCTTCTATTTTCCATTTTGCTTAGGGATACAGTTTTATGCTCATCTGTAAGGGAGGCTGTAGTTAAGGCATGGTAGACTTTTCATGTTTACTGAAAATCTTAACATATAACTGTACACAACAGGCCATAGTTGTTCAAACAGTATATGGTAGGACTAAATCAAAACTTAAAAAAAAAAAACAACCAAAAATAGAGATAGGCTCTCTTTAACTTGTTCCAGGCCTTAAGCTTGAAATGCTCCTGCCTAAGCCTCCCTACTAGTGGAAATTACAGGTGATAGAAATTATGTTCTAGCTCTTAATGGATAGCTTTCGACAACTATCTTACCATCTCGGATTTTATCCTAAGTTGGAAGAAGTTAGTTTTGGAATTTCAAATTTTTAGTAGGAAAACATAGTTTATCACTTTAGAATGATTATAAGAGTGTTTCTTTTTCTTTTTTTTTTTCTTCTTCGTTTCGTGACCGGGTCTCTTATGTAGTCCTTGCTGGCCAGGAACTCAGAGACCTACTTGCCTCTGCCTCCCAGGTGCTGGGATTAAAGGCGAGCATCACCACACCCATGCCTGTTTCTTTTTTTTTTTTTATCACATAATAGGTTTATAGTGAGCAATAGAGAACAAGTTATTGAAAAAAAGGAAAAAACAAACAGTATGTTCTTTCGAACATAGTTAATTGGAAGATTTGAAAATTATGTTTGGTGTACTAGTGGTCGTCTGACTTCCTAGATTAAATTTTTTTTACAGATAGGTCTTGAAATTTTCAGCATCAAGTTTTGTTGCATTCATATTCTTATAGACTTGACTGCTTTCTGGTGAAATTTAAAGTTAGGGTGTTAATTTAAAAAAAATCTTAAAAGTAAATACTATTAAGTATAATTTGTTGACTTTTAAAGTTATAACAGAGACATCTTGCTGCACAGCCCATCTGGCATTCTTTTGCCTCAAGTGCCCTAAGTGCTGTGATTTCATACCTATAGTGACTTGTCCAGCTCTTAAACGTTTACTTGATCTTTCCTTGACCATAATAGTATCTAAATACGGCCATTTTAGAGGCTTAATACTACTAGCAGGCAATATAATACTTGATAGCAACTTAATACTTGCTCTAAACTTTGAATATAATAACATTCTCAAGAATTCTTTGTGGTAGGCATTATGTTCATTTTATGGAAAAAAACTGAAGTACTAAGAAATAACTTGTCAATTGGTAAATGGTGGGGATGGAATTTGAGCATGTATAGACTATCTGGAACTACTCTGTGTAGCAAGGTTATTCTTAATAGGCGGGGTTTATTTTGGCTCACAGTTTCAGAGAATAGTCCATCATGTCCTAACAGCAAAAGCCTGGCAGTTGATCACATTTGTACATCCACAGTCAGAGAAAGAAGAGAATCCCCCTCACGCATCCCTCTTTGAGGCAGGAGCTCCCTATGTAGCTCAGGCTGCCCTCAAACTCAAACTTGATACTGCTATCTTAGCCTTTTTAGTGTTGAGTTTATGGCTTGTGTTGCTACCAATGGCATTATAATTTAGAATTGAAGTTAGCTTTTGATCAGCTGTATGAGAAACCAGTGAAATTAGAATAGCATATATTCAACCTTGGGAGAATTTGAGATTAAATACACTGGGGGATTATATGTTCTGAAAAGTTTAGTATTTAATTTTTTTTTCAGAGCAGATAGAGATTTATTAAATTGTGAGAACTCCCAAGAATGGGAGGGAGTCCAAGGGATGACTACCTATATTTTACTGATTTTGATGTGTGGTGTGTATTTATTGGTTGGGCTGTTTTCTGTAGTATAGAATACTATGAAAATTGCATTGGCCTACATTTGCATTGCCATGTTTTATTCTACATCTAGTATGTCATCAAAAGTAAATTAAAATTAATAATTGAATTTGACAGTAGTTCTCTCCAAAGTTCAATTTCTAAAAGATGTCCATCTTTTGTAACAAAATTTGCAGTCACTTTTTTTTTTTAAAGACCAGGTTTTAATATAGCCCAGGCTGGATTTACTTCCTGCCTCCAATTCCCCATTTGCATGAATTGGACCTGGCTCTGTAGTTGTCTTTTTGAGCTGTGGTGTTTTAGTATTGAATATGGATAACTGGATTTTGAAAAGAATGATTTTATTTACATAGAAGTAAACCTGAGAAAGAAATTTAATTTGCTGGCTCATGTTGACTTATGCCAGTGTATTTGTAACTATGTTCATTCAGCATTGATGTAGAAATGAAACACATTTTTAAAACATGAGTAATTTTTTTTTAGATAGAATAGCCATTTACAAATTAGTTCTGGCCAGGAGTGGTGGTGGCGCACGCCTTTAATCAGCACTTGGAAGGCAGAGGCAGGCGGATCTCTGAGTTCGAGGTCAGCCTGGTCTACAAGAGCTAGTTCCAGGACAGGCACCAAAGCTACAGAGAAACCTTGTCCCAAAAAAAAAAAAAAAAAAAAAAAAAACCAAACAAACAAAACAAAAAACCCAAATCATGTGTGAACAAATGAAGACACAGTATATGATAGTAGTTAGGACCAGTAGAATCCAGCCTTGGCTCATAATCACATACCACCATTGAGCACTAGTTGCCTTGCTGATTATTTCCTTTTTCCTCTTGTAGCTCAGGCTGGCTTCCCCTTTCCCTTTTCTTTCTAGATAGGATTTCTCTCTGTGGCCCTGGCTATCCTGGAACTTGGCTCTGTAGAAAGACAAGTTTGGCCTCAAACTCAGAGATCTCTTATCCTCCAAGTGCTAGAATTGAAGGTATGCACCACCACTGCTGGCAATTTTCAACTTTATTAGCATATATTATATACAATAATGGCTTATGGGTTTCATTATGATATTTTTATACATGTACATAATGTCATAATCCCATTACCCTTTTTTGTGTCCCTTTAAACATTTTATTTTTAAAAATTACATGTGTATTGATATTTTGTATGTCTGTACCATTTGTAGACTGGGTAAGATGCCTGTGCTGTGAACAACCCTAAGCCTCTCACCTCCCCCTTCTCCCCCCTCGCCAGTGTTGAGATGGGTGCTAGCTGGAAAGGGGGTAAGCAAGTGGAAGGGCTGTAAGACCACTGGCTGCTCTTCCTGGACAGTGGTTTAGTTTGGTTCCAAGCACCCACATGGCAGGAGATCTGATGGCAAACACATGGTTTAGAATTATCTCCCACCCTATCAACCATTAAGAGTATACATCCTCAGAGAGGAATGGAACTCTAGCATCCTTTCTTTGTCTTGTATAGGTCATGCATAGGTAATCACAAGGGTTGACTTAAGTGCCGCCCTTTACTAACTTGTACATTCTTGGTGTCCCTTCTTATCCAGTGTTGCTAGATCTTGGAGGGAGTAAT